GCATTTTTTATCCAAAGTGATGTACATTTTTTTAAGAAAGCAGTATTAGTATCTGGAGCAACTGGGGTTAATTAAAGGTCTTGCTCACTGGCCCAACAGTGAAACCAGTCAGCTGACACTGGGATCCAAACTGGTGTCCCTCTGACCACAGGCATGGCACCCCAATCCACTGAGCCACACAGAGCACTACCCCCATCGAGCCTTTGCAGATACAAAGCAGACAATGTCATTCCTTACATTGTCACCTCAGTGAACAAACTAGGGCCATAATGCAAATATATTAGATGTCCATGGCAGTTGATCACCAGATGATATCTCAGACATGATCCTTAGAAGTAACAGGTAGCGGCAACTGAACGCCAATGGAGTGTGGGATAGAGGTCAGGACTGCGACCTGGGAAATGCACTGCTGACAGAACAGCTCTAGTGATTTGCCATTCAAAGCCTGACAGGCTATCCAAAAATGCGTTTTGATTTATTTTAGTTTGTTTATGGCCATTTCAAAGAATCATTTTTTAATCTACTCATATAATCTACAAAATAAGCTTTTGTACATAAAACTGATATTTTCAAAATCTTCCTTGCTTTTCCATGTTCGGTATTGGTGCCACAGCTAATTTGTGATTACCTGTGTATACAGGGCTTTGCGAAATGCATAAATAAAGTGATTGACCTAGTATGAAGGAAAACTACAAATAACAAATTTGCCAAAAATAAAAGACCACGATCTTCATGCTGTTTTTGCCGGTGAGGGTGGAAGTGGCAGCATGCCAAGTAGGTCAGACCAGGTCTCTGTCTCTAAGGACACAGACTCTAGCTTGTTCTGGGCGTTGCCCAAATTTTCCCAAGCCATCTGGGAAATATAACCTTTCCAGTATGTTCTGGGTTTGCTCCGGAGCCTCTTTCCAGTGGGACATGCCCAGAACCGCTACCTGAGGTGCTAAAACAATCTCAGCTGACTCCACATCTCTGTATTCCTCACCCCGTTACAGAGCGTGAACTAAGCAACCCTACGCAGAAACCTCATTTTGGCCATTTGCACTTGTAACCTTTTTGTTTTGGCCATTGCACACATTGTGTAACCACAGGTGAAGATAGGGATGTGATTAAGGGTCAAATTAAGCTCCGTCCTTCATCACTATTGACCTGCTCAGTGCCCACAAAATTGCAGCCACTGAACTGATCCTTCTGTCAATCTCATGTTTGCCATTACCACCACATTTGAACAAGATTCCAAGATAAGATCAAAATTCCTTCAGTAAGATCAGACCCTACCCCACCTTAAACCTGCAATGCGGTCTTTCCCAAGAAAGCACAGGCCTCAGATTCAGAGGGGCAGATTCTGACCCCCATCGCTTCACCTCAAGCCTCTGAAATGTGTTTTGGAGTCATGTGCAACTGAGGCTATAAGACCGTCAGCATTTGAAAATAACAGGGATGCTACTGCTACACTTGGGGAGAGATAATCTTTGCTGTTCAACTCTTTTGTTGAACCCCCTCCACCCACCCCAGTGTAAAGGTCACACGGTTTACTGTAGACTGCTTCTCTCTACCTGTCTGATGACACACAGTACTGCTGCATGTGCGATGCAGGGGCAACATGCGGAGGTTTGGCTTTTGATCACTGAGGATGTATTGAAAGATGTTCCCGGGGAGCATGGAGACTGGGGTCAAGGCCCAGGAATAACAAGAAGCAGACTGGCCACCATCAGAAGTCACACACCCAGGCCCTCAACCAGAAATGATGTTTGTTACATTGCTGCTAACGACAAGTGAATGAACTCTTTTTTTTATTCAAGGGCTAAATAAAAAGACCAATAATAGAAGTACTTCCAGGAAAGGGGCCCTTTTTTGTTCTGTGTTGCTGCCCTTTTCCCCTTTGGGTTATTCCTGGTTCACCCTCATTCTTTCAGGCTCTAAATGGCCGCGAGAAAGTAGATGTGATAGCTGAAGTGTGAAAGGCCTGCTCCACCCACTTTTAGTTTCTGGTCACTGTAGAAGTGTTGCGGTCTCCACTCATCAGGTATAACGAGCTCTACCACTCTTATTATATCATGCAAATTTTCACATCATATTCAGGCGTCCTTTAGAACACGGCGCTCCTCATCACACGGCTGAAGGACAACGGCCGCATCGAAAAGGTGACCAACACCCTCCAGTGTTTATTGACCATGATTAGGGACAGAGAAAGACAGGGAGGTGGGCTAGCGAGGCGCACGCTGCACTCAGCCCCCTCGCATTATCATTGATTTAATGAGCTGCTTTTGGGTTTTCTCCTCCACAGCTGGCTCTCACTTTGAATAACAGCAAATGCTTAACTATGAGATAACTACAGGTGAACAGCCAAAAACATCTGACACTGACCTAAGAGAAACCCCAACTGCAGAAGGCCACGAGCCAAATTTCCCTTTTCCTTTTTTCCCATTTTAAGTAGGCAAGTCAAACTTCCCCAGTAGAAATTCCAGCTAAAACTAATAAACCTTACCAGTTGCTATAGAATGGTATGCAATAGTCTACATTTCCGATCATCAGATAACCAGGAAATCTGTTGCTAGAGCTACTGGTTGAGTACAGCTGCTATTTGTAACTCAATTATCAGCTTGGCTACACAAAAACCCTTTTGAAGCCATTCGAAAATATGACTGTTTGCTTCTACTGGAAAATCTTTAGAAGTTCTGACTCAGGTCAGCCGTTCATGACATGAAGGATGAATTTTCCTCACCAATGGCCAGGCAAAATACTGGCTTAGTCTTCCTGCAGTGCTGGTCTGCTAATACTGACAGGTCCAGTTCATGGGTGAAGCAGTTACTGCATGGGAATGTTACATGGCCTGCCAATCCACATATTCATCTAGCTATTCCAGTGGTGTTACACCAGATAAGGAACTTAGGTTTTACATTGTGTGTTTTCCTCAAATCAAAACTATTTAACCATCCCTTACCAGAATGCTTATGGTTCCCATGTTCAAATGTTTAAGGATAAACCCTGCTGATTCTCCACAGGCAATATCTGAAGACAAAAATCAGACACAGGGATGATTTATTCTAGTCATAATTTGTTAAGGCAAATATGTATCTTTTAGCAGTCGTATATTTGATACACTGTTAAAATATGTGTACTTGCGCTTATCTGGGTGTATCCCACTAACTCTGTCACAACCTTGCATAGTTTGCCCACCAGCCGGTAACCCGCAAAGCTGCAGGGAAATGTTCTTGCTTGTAACCTAAGGCTCTCGTTACTGCATCCACCCCCCTCCAAGCCTTTGCCGAACTGTCGCTTCTGATCACGCATTGCGTTTCACTTCACCAAGGGTGTTACTTTTAAATCAGGGGACAGTATGCGGCTACGGAAGCTAGGATTCTATGCCTGGGATCGGAAGGTAGCCTCTTCAAATCCCACGACAGCGAGAGTATGCCACCGCTGGGCCACTAAGCAAGGCCACAAACCCCAGCTGACAGCCCAGGGACACTTCCTGACCAGAGATCCTCACTTGCATGCTGCCTTGGATGGAAACACCTACAAAATAAAAATACAGAGAGTGGTGTGGTACAGTTTGCTCTCTGGCTGCCCGGGGCTCATCCACGGCTTGACCTAGAATTAGGTCCACGAGGATGTGCTTCATGGCAACCTCATTACTCACTGACTACTCTGCTGCTCCTATGAACTGGAAGCAATATGCCAAAGCATCTGTGCTGGGCTGACATCTCCTCAAAAGAGATGGTGAAGTGACAGTGGAAACAAAAATTACAATAAAAAAAATGTAAAAGACAAAACAAAAAACAAATATATTATTTATATACATCTTTCCATGAAAAAAGCACGTAATTATTATTCAATGAATAAATTTTACTACTTATTTCAGTAGGCAATCTAACAACATTGTCATACATCCATAAATCATATTGAATGTATAAACATGTTATACCAAATATGCAAAAAATCCTGTGCAATAAAAGTACATTGCAATAATATCTGTAGTTGCATACACATAAGGCCTCAAATATTTAGATGTAAGCATTAATGAATATGACATGAATGCTGTCATATATACAAACAAGTGAAAGATTTATCTGAATAGAGGCAGCAAGGCATTAATAATTATTTGTGTCTTAATATTTAAATATTAATAAATATTTTGTCCCCTATGGGTTACTCTGTGACTGCAGAAATTTTTATTTAATATAGACAAATATATTGTATATAAAACTTTACAGGACAGTCCAACTGAAAACAATTAACTTCATTTTCATAAATAACTGCCCTGTTTAAAGAATAAAACATTCAGAGCACAATTCACTTTAATGCTTTTCATTCCTTTCCCATTACGATGCATATGGTCTGCAGCCATGATTCAGTGCTACAAGACAATGGCAGCAGCTCCAGCTGAGAAACAGCTGATTGAACAAATGTGCCTGATTAATGTGTCTACCTTGATTTCCAAGTACAGCATCTATAGCCTGTACATTTTTGACGGCTCAACTACGCCTGAACAACACAGCTGCTGGATATCTTGGCAGCATATTATAGAGACTTCTTATTTAATTGGGTTTCTTGGCGGGGAATATATATTTTTAAATGTGACCCATAACAATCACTGCCCTAGTAAAGCTGGTGTTTGCCATGAAGATAAAGTGCCACCTACTGGTAGAAAACAAAATTGTTTCATAGTACAATAATACCCAGATTATCCCCTAAACAACGTGCAACTTCTAGTGCGATTGCTGCGCTGAAACCTTCCAGGTCTCATCTTGCTTCATACCAGCACTCAGCCTAAACCTTTACTTCCCTGTTACTGCAATATACTGTAAATACTGTCATAGCGTTGAGTTTCGTAAAGACATTTTAAATAAGAGTCAATGTGTCACTGTTTCCGGAGTTTCTCAGCTCATGAACAACTCTCCAGGAATTCTTAAAAGAAATTATGTAAATGTATATACAAAAATCAATGGGATCTCCTACAAAGTGTTCACATGCATTCAGCGATATTAGAAAACATGGCACATTGTTCAAAATTTTTATTTTACAAAATGTACACTAAATAATTAAATATTTGTTATGTACACATAATTATAAAAAAGGTAGATATACACACGCATTTTCCACAAAGACCGCTCCAAGGGGAGGCGAATCCAATCACGTGCAGAACGGGCAGGGGGTCTATGTCATGGTATCCATGACGATGTGTCCGTCTTTATCCTTGACGCGCAGCCGGCCTGTGGGATACCTGGTTTCCTGACGGCCGTCTGCATGAATGGTCTTGGCTGTGCCATCTGGGTACTCCCTCCGCTTGAACGTGGCTGTGTGTACCTCCCGCTGCCCGTTGTTAAACCGGATGACCTTGGAACCATCCCTGAATGGGGGGGCATTATCATAGCTGTCTATTCACCACTTATGTCATCATGTCATTGTAGTAGTTGCCAAACTTCACTGACCAAAATACTAAAAGGCTGAACTTGTATCAGCGTCAGAAAGTCATCAAGTCGGAGGCAACTTACGGTTCTGCTTCTATGACAGTTCCGTCAGGGAATATGCTCTCCTCCTTCCCATCTGGAAACAGGTTCTTCACTGTCTGATCGGGAAAAGTGATTTCCTTTCGGCCATCTGGAAAATGCTTTTCTGTTAAAAGGGGGAAGAAGATGTTTTTTTATTAATGCATATACAAATTAACCACTGAGAGTCTATGTGGTTACAGACAATGTGCACACAACACAATCTCCTGGACATGCAGCCTCACAACTTGCCAACTTATGCTGTGATCTGAAACATTAGTCAATGTCCAACTTAGGGCCGCAAAAAAAAATCGATTAGTTGGCCCTAAACAGGGGGAGGGGGGAATCCTTGATAATTTTAGCGCCAAAATTTCAAAATACCACTGTTTACTGTATTACCATTATACCACCCAGGCCTAATATCAACATTTAAACTGTTCATAACCATTTAGCCATTACAGTACACATTGTGCCATGTGCTTCCTGGCTGAATAAGTGATTATAGAAAACCGATGAATGGAAGAATATAATGAAATTCTAAAGCTCCATTTGGACGGGATTAGTTACCTGGGGACATAATGTAATTGAAGCAATTAACCATGAGGTCCACAATATCAATACAGTCCGAATGTGCTACGTCTGTAATCATTACAAGCCTCCACAGTACAAATTCAGGAGTGAATTACCTTCTGTATTTCAGCAAACATGGACTTCTTTCAGCTATAGTGGTCCAGTGTGATTTGTCATCTCAGTAATAACGTCATATTTATAAAGGCATGCCATTTTTTAGTAAGGCAGAAGCAGCATTTATATGCTAAAAAAGCAGCTTGAATGGATACCAAGTTTTCCCACATAAACGCCCAACAACCTACACCTACAGCTTCTTCTGCGTCAAGGTTTTCTGCAGGTGCAGACCAGTGCAACACTACGGAGTACACCAATTTGTAAGCTACTGTATGGTTGGGAGGAAAGAGTTCAGTTTATATTTTGTTTGATTAGTATGTTAAAGAGATAGGTCACCCAAAAATGAAAATTCTGCTATTTGCTTTCTAGACATGCTAACCATAACATTAACCTTCATTTAATCTCTGCTAACTCAGGTAATTTGGGAAATTACAATTTCTTATCCTGGCCAAATCAGTCAAACAAATCACTTTATAGGCTACATACTGAACCTCCCTATGTAAAATTAACCCTGTCTGAACAGGGCTTAAGAGTCTATCCTTAGTAAAAATGCATAACTTGAAACTTTATAGCCGGGGGAGTGGAACACTTCTATACTCTTGAGTAGATAGTCTGAATCTCTCAACTATAATATCCAGAAGCATAAATGTTGCAAACTAGGAAGAAAAGAAATTAAAACAGGCTGCCGTAAAGCGTAGCAAACAAATAAAAACTTATGTTATCTGATTTTATATAATTAGACCAAAAAGCACCGAAGCTTAATTTACTGTAAAGCTTTGACAAAAACTCCACACACATTTTTCCTTTCTAGTTCTTGATGGATTGCATCAATTCATTAAAAAACAAAAAAGTTTAAATCAAATACTCCACTTAAATGTATATTTAGGTAGGTCTACTCACCAATTTGGTTATTGGGGAACCTTAGCACTTCCATGCCATCTGGGTATGTGGTGTGAGTGGTTTGGGCCTCAGCATAGTAGTAAATCTGAACACATTGAGATCCAGGATTAACTTACCATTCATCGCTGATGAATAAACCAGAATTACAGGAAGGCATTGAAACTCAGGAACATTAAGTATATTTGAAGCCACATACAATTAATCCTCGATTTACATTCTAATTCTTAGGATGGAAAGCTGGCAATCATAAAAATCACACTGCTGAAAGTAAAGTTCAAGCTTTTAGGATTTAGTGTCATTGACATGCAAAGCCAGAACAGGGTCCAGACGCCAAGACTCCTTACCACCTGCTGGTCATCTGTGACCTGTTTGACATCCCCATTGAAGAAGGTGATCTTCACTGTTTGTCCATCAGCTGATACTTCTTTACGGGTTCCATTTGGAAAAAGTATAAGCCGTCCCCCCCAGCGAAGCACATGCTCAATCTGAGAGACAGGGACACAGGCCCTCTTAGCACAGGGAGTCGCCTTTATTCTGAGTAGTAGCTTCAGGTGAATACTTACACAAACATTTCTGGTCAGTTAGGCAAGACCTTGTATAACAGCAAAGTCACCTATGACCTACTCCACACCTGCACTTTTCTTACCTTTCCATCGGGGTGGGTAATTGTCTCCTGGCTTTCCACTTCATCCTGTCTCCGATCTTCTTCATTCTCATCCCCACATGGTTCCTTTACCAAAGCTCCAGAGTTCTGTACAAAGCATAGACAGGCTTCAGTTTAGAGCAGAACTCCAACAAGACCTACCTGAGTAATGAATGCCACTTCCAAACTCAAATCTGCAAATCTAAGCATTTCAGCTCCAGCTGGTTCATCTACTCACACGAGGAAGACAATCAGGTGACACTGAATTCTCCACTACAGTCCATCTGCAAAGATCTGAGGCTCTATTCCCTTCTGCCCAGTGGACAGAGGGCTTACCTGCAATAATAAAAACAGAATCATTAACAGGTTAACAATAGACATCGCGAGAGGGAAGAACTCCTTCTCATTATAATTTTACTAAACTCACACTCAACTGAAAATATACCAAACTTGATAAAAACTGTAAAGTCTCATGAAAATACCTGTGGCAAGAGGATTATGTCCCTGCACGCTCCCCCTAGTGGATGAGGGCAGCAACGTAGTGTCACATGTCGTACGTGTGGAACTCTACACCAGAAGATACACAAAAAACACTATTAAAGACTCACAAACCTGCTAAGCAGAGAGGAAACAAACCCTTATGTTGTGTGAGGCATAAAAACCCCTTTATTCCATGGCCTTCCTTGAAATAAAGTTTGTCATAGTATTGAAAAGTCTATTAGACTTATTTTATTAATATCAGCAGTGTCAAGCAGATCACCCAGCCTCACTGACAATGGTCATTCAAAAGGGCAAACGAAGAATTAGGGAATAAAAATGTATACAACTGAAAAAGTATTAATACTAACAATGATACAAATACAAGTTGACTCACATCAGATTTGGACCTCCTAGAGCTGGTCTGGGAGATATCATTAGCCTGCACTGTGCATTTCTCCTTCTCCGCTTCTGCCTTCTTCCAGGTCGCTACTCGCAACTTCTCCAGAACCTGGACCTCATCCCGCAGGGCGGCATTCTCTGCACTGAGAGTCTCCAGTTGCTTCCGGAGACGGCTGTGAGTGTTGGACCAGCGGGCCTCTCGGCGCCGGAGCTCGTCCTGCAGGGAGCTCAGCTGCTGCTTCAAGGCCTGAGGAACAGGTTGGGTCAAGATGGAACAGGTACCAAGCAAGCAATGTCACATGTCACAGGTAGCATGCCTCGAAATGAAAATGAACTTCTCATATTAAATGCCACATGAATACAATAAAAGCAATTTTACAGAAACATTTCGAACAATTTATTGATGCTAATAAAGTGTTAATGTTTCACATTACATTAAATGATATTAAATGGTGGACTTCCACAGTTTCACTCCAGAGATTTCTGAAGAACAGTGTAAGTGTCTGACCTGGATCTCCTCGCGCTCCTTCTTGTCGGGTACGGCTCTGGCGGCAGACGCGTGCCTTTCAAACACCCGGCGCTCTCGCTGCAGCTTCCGCGCCTCCTCTTTCTTCATCTCCTCTAGGTCAGCCAGCTCCTTCGCTTTCCTCTGCTCAAAGGCCACCACGTCCTTCCTGCCACACATCCACACACTGAAGTTCATTCTTCTGACATTGAAGGCGATTCCGTTGTGGAGAGAGCTACTGGACAGATCTCAGTACATACAATCTGGGTATGTATACTGCCGAATCCAACAAGCAACCTCACCAGACCAAAGACAATATGTACAGTGCATATCTAATCAATACTGTTAGGGGCGCGATATACTTCACGAGGCGCATGCAATGCAAGCAGTATGGAACACCAAACAGGTCAAAAACACATGAATTTTAACGTGTAGAGTACATGTTAGCAAGACATTAACAACATACAAAGCGTGTTCTTAATGTTTATTTTATACATTGATTTTTCACACATAGAATACATGTTGACAACACATGTTAACGTGTATTCTACACATAATTCACATGTTTTTGACCTGTTTCATGTTCCATACACCTACAACGCATGGAATGAATGCAGAAAATGCGTGCTGGCCATAATGCATACGCGTATTCATTGGGAGCGTCAAGTATAAATCAGCCCTTATCCATCCATCCATGTCAGATCCTATCCCAGGTAGGCCTGTCACGCAAGATACACAGATATAACCTAAATTTTTTTTCTGACCTTGGTATTGGCAGACTGTTTACATAAGAATGAACGCACAAACACATTTTACTTTAGTTTGCAGCCATCTGGGAGTCTTCATAATTCTGTAGCAAGGAATCATATAAATGCTGGTATTTCTGGACTTTATGATCATAAGGGGTAGAAGAAGTATGCATTTACAACCTATGGTCTGACTTCTGGCTACTTTTCCCTTGACTAATGACTGATCCAGCTTCTTCTTCATCACTGCATGAAGCCTTCACAAAACTGGCTAGGCAGTATAATGCCTGTTAAGCAGTGATGCTCCGATTGATCGGCCACCGATCATGATCGGCCGATATTGGCTAAAAATAGCTTGATCGGCGAACCCCAAAAGCGCCGATCAAAAAAAGCCGATCACTTGACATAAATTACTCGCGCGACTTTTTCACACGTGCATGCACGGCGCACAGGTAAACAACAGCAGAGCGGAGCTTACCAGTGGCAACATGAGTTCTCCCGTCTGGAAGTTTTTCAGTGTCCTATAAATGTATGCCGTGATGAAATCCCTCGAGGTGGAAGCAAGCAACGGCATTTTAACACCACTAACATGATTAGGCATCTTAGAACACGCCATACAACTGAATATGCCGAGTATGAGAAACTAAACCACTCTGCTCTCGGGGAACATTTCATGTGTTGACCCTGGAGGTGTCAGGCAACAGTGCTGACCAAAGTGTCACTGCCCCTCCTTCAGTGTGGGGCGCCAAGTGTCAAGCGCTTGATTCTTCAAGATCTTGACTGTAGCCTATTTCTACAGTTTTTTTTTTCAATATAGTTAATTTAGAGTTAGTTTCATTTCTACAAATGGTACAAACTCTGCTAGATTATAGATAAAAGATTCCCATTCCCCTGCCATTCTGTGATCGGCATTGATCGGCAATCGGCAGATCATGATCTTGGTGATCGGTAATCGCCCCCAAAAATGCTGATCGGAGCATCTCTACTGTTAAGGAACAAATGACTCTCTATACCCCTGTGCCAAATGTTTAATATATAATGCAGTTTCTGTTAACATAGCCTAAGAGTCCATTTTATTTGCTTCTTTTTGGTTGTGTGATTTTTATGTATGTTTTATTTATTTATCTACTTTTTCCAGTTCCACTATATTCTTAAGAATTAAAATGTCATTGCTTTTTGAAAGGCTGTACTTCCATTATTATGCTATTATGTTATCACTATATCAGTGGCAAAAAATTATCTTAGAAGGAAAATAATATCATTTATCACAATTATTTCTGGACAATATGTTGTCCAACAGATGTAGTTATCAGACAGGCCGAATCCCAGGAAGCACTGGGAATAAAGTCGGAAAACACCCTTGATGGGATGTCAGATCATTGCAGTTTCAACACATGCAGACCCAAAAGTATAACAATTGGTGCAATTAGACCACAGAATACGTTGCTGATTAGTGAGTCAATTTTGTTCTTTCCATTCCTCAGATGTTATGCGTTTTTTTTAGTTATTTAGCAGAAGCTTTTATTCAAAGTGACATACAACTGAGAAAGCAGGGTCAGCCAGTTCTACAAGCATTTCAGATTAAGGGTCTTGCTGAAGGGCCCAATGGTGAAATCACTCTGACAAGCCAGGGACTTGACCTGGCAACCTTCTGATCAGGCACAGTGTCCTAACCCACAGAGCTACACACTGCTACTCTGTTACACACAATGTAGTGATGTTTTATGGCAGCTGATTTTGAATTTCTGAGAGTGACAGACTATGAATTGTCCAAGAGGGTCACAATCTACAGATTCTCTTGGCCTTGGAACAAACGGAACAAACCCAGCTCTGGTTATTGTCTTCATGCTACTTCCAGTCTTATCCTGTGCTACATTTACAGACACTGCCTATGTGTCTGTGTCCATAGTAAATGTCATCCTGCACCATAGGCCAAGGCCTGCATCTACGGCCACTTGCCTAAGAATCTCCACATAAACAATCCTCACCTGAGCGCCTCCAAGCCAGCCTCCCTCTGCTGCTTCAGGTGGGCCAGCTTAGCATTCTCTTCCTTAAAGCGTTCGATCTCAATCTCCAGCTCTACCAGACGTTCCCTCAGCTGTCGTGACAAGGGATTAGGCCCTACGTGGGGACAGGAATGCGTACATTTAGAGGAAAGACAAAGAAATATGAAGGACATGCGGGCAATGGGGGAAGTGCATAGAGAGGACCCCCAAATTACTCACAACACTGGAAAAGAGCGAGCATGTTATACTCAATACTGCTGGTTTCACAGAAAATTTACAAATGTTATTTCTGAATTATTCTGATGCATTTTTCTTTTTGGACTGAAGAAAATTAGTTTTGAAATGCATAATTTTAGGTCAAACTGCATTGTGTGCGTGTTAATGAGGAAAAATACCAGGAGTTTGACCCTGCTGGTGCTCAGTATGACAGTAAATTTCCCATTAACTTATTTACCTATTAACGCCACAATAACTGCTTGGGTTTTTCATAGGCCTGACTATAATGACTGACGGATATGGCCAATCCATGGCATGATGCCTCACCTGCCACCTGCTCAGCCACTGCCGTTGGAGGCTCCACAGCTGCTGCTGGGCCAGGCTTCACCTTGGGCTTTACAGAGGGGAACAGTTTAGCTACCAGCTGGGAAGTCGGGGGAGGTGATGAAACCTGGTCTCCCTCTTTGGGGTACAAGCCCCACTCCTCCCCCTTCACAGCAGCGACCTTCCTCTTAAGTGCCCCAGCCGAAGGGACATGGCTTATGGCTTCTATGCTGACACAGTCTGAATCTCCCATTCTGGTTTCATTATCATCATCATCATCATCATCTCCAGCAGTTTCTTCCTCTTCCTCCAAGTCTCCAGCTTCCTCCACATCATTCCACGTGTCGTCATCGTCAAACACAATGTGGCCTGCAGTCCTAGCCTCTCCGTTCTCAGTGAGGATTGCACCTGCATGCTGATTGAATTCAACCTCACAGCTCTCCTTTCCTTTATTGTGGTCTAAGTCGATGTCTCTGTCCTGGTAAGACATCCTGTCATACAGGGCACCAGAAGGTACCGGAAAGGAGAGATGTCCATGCAATGCTGGCTCAGCTGGGGATACTACCTCCCGGACAGTGTCATCTGGGTCCCCTAATTCCAAGCTACTGTGACTTGATGCTCTGGTGGCATCCGTGTTTGTCAAGGCCTGCACCTCCTTCACTTTGAGGTTATTACTCTTTGTCTGCCCTGTCGTTCCAGGCTTTAGCCTGACTGCACCTGTGCAAACGGGTGGGCGACATCCTGTTCCAGCAGACTGGCTCCTTTCCAGGCTCTTGATAGGAGTAGAGGATAGCCGGCGGTTGTGGTGGCCTCCTCTGCTCTGGCGGTCGAGCTGCAGCACCTTCATGACGAAGGAGGAATTGCTGGAGAAGGACAGCTCCTCAGCAGCCTGCTCCAGCAGCTCAAACTCACCCAGCTCCGCATTCTCCTGCAGCTTCTCCGAGTCCCAGCGCTCCAGCTTACCCTGGAAGGACAGCTCAAAGGACTCTGGTGGGGGTTGGGATGCTCTGGGTGTAGGCCTCATCTGCATCTGCCTCTGGACTCCACTCATCTCCTCCCCACTCATGTACTTTGTTACCAGCACAGCCTTTGATGGCGGAGGACGAGAAAGCGGAACTAGCCTTCTGCCTTGCATTCCGCTGCTAGTCGTCTCTTTTCCATTGTGCTCTTGTGTTTCCCCAGCCTTAGACCTCCCCAAATCTGGAGCCACTATGTTCTGCCTTTGATTTCTGCTGAGGACCCTGGTTTGTGGTTGGACAGCACCCTTTGTCTGCGGTCTTCGGAGTTCCTGGCCCACAGGCTGGTGCTCTGGGCGGTTCTCTTTGTTCAGGGCAGTAGTCTTGCGCTGGATGGCAGGGCGCTGGGAAACACTGTTTTTCTGAATGTTTCTGCTGGGTCCTGTATCACTGGAAGTGCTGGACTTAGGGGGCACGTGGGTGACAGCATCCTTATCTCTCCTTTTTGGGATGGCAGCTTTTCCCCTAGTGAAGCGAGCAAGGCCCTCCCCCCGCCGTAGAAAGGTTCTCTTTAGGGGGCCTTTTACTTCCACTGTAGTCTAGGGAAACAAATACAGAAAAACAGCAAATCACTTATTCACAAATTATTCATACTCCAAACTGCTCAGGCCATCTTCATATATAGTGACAACACAAACTGGATAAAGAATGCTGGATAAAGTCTGTTTAGCTGCATGAGGTTCACTGCTGGTCTAATTCCACTGAAGCAAACTTAACACAAGTACAGACCTGCCCCAGCTGGACAACCTTCATCCTCTGCTCCTCCAGCTGCAGTTGCTCTTCTAGAAGCTCCTCAAACGTCTGCTTCTTGCTCCCAACCCCTGGTTTGATGGGCCTGTGCCATTTCAGCGAGTAGAAGCAAAATTACAAAACAGCAAGATTCAACAGCAGTTGCTAACCTGCTAAAGCAGTATAACATACTAGAGATGCAATGATCCGATATTTGGATTGGTATCGGCACCGATCCAGACCTATTTAATGGATCAGTTATCAGCCATACATGACCGATCCAACTCCGATGTAGTTTTTGGCAGTATGTAAAAACATGCCTCCTATTTTGTGTTAAATATATTTCAACAATCATTCGCATGACATGTGACTGCTGTGACATCATGTGCATAGCCTCTGCAGTAGGAGGAGCATAAAAATATTAGATAAGATGGTGATGATCTGGAAGCATTTTATGCTTTTTACAGCAAATAGTAGCACGGCGATTTACAATCTTTGAAAAAGTTTTGAGAGGTGGAAGTAGTGTTTAGTGGAAAATCCCACTAAATAAAGTATATGCAATTGTGCAAAACAGTACGAGTAATATGAAAAAAGCAATGGATGATTTGGGAGTTACTGGTTTGGGCTGTTATGTGCACTTGCCACAGCTTGTGATACATGAGGGGCTGCTATCGCAACAAAGTGTTATCACAATCGCTGTTGCCAGTGGGAGGAAAATTGTGGGGCATTTTATGCATTCATCACTTGTGTATCCTCACTTGGAAGATATTGAAATTGAACTGCAAAATGGTTCAAACACACTTAATACAACATGTACAAACGAGGCTTAACAGTCTGTTGTGTATATTTCTAGTACCCTATTTAAAGATTTTTTGGCATACATTTTTTCATCTGCATTTACTAGTTTAAAAACATCACTAATATATAAAGTATAAATATAAACTCAGTGACAAAAAAAGTTAAGCATCCAGACAGAGTGGCGGAAATAATATAAATTTGCACGTGGTGAAAGGTCATGTGACTATCGCAATGATTATAGTATCACATCAAACGGACAACAGAATTGGCAGTGGGGTGTGGCACCTCCCTGGGCCTGGATACGGTGCAGAAGGGAGTCGTACAGCTGTAATATCCTCTCCTGCGGAAGGTCGGCCCACAGCTGTTGTAACTGGCCCTCGAGATCCTGCAGATTGCCACTGGGTCTGATTCCCCTTCGATTGGGTAAAGATTGCAGGACCTGTCTGGCCACGGAAGGACCCCAACATGACGTAGGCAGTCCATAGACACATGTGCTGTGTGTCAACGGGCATTGTTTTGTTAAAAGACTGTACCAGGGTGCTGTCTCAGGATGGGCAAGACATGCGGATGCAGGGTGTCACTGACGTAGCGCTGTGCCATCAGAGCCCCCGAATCACTACCAGAGATGACCTGAAGTCATACCCTATGGCTCCCCACACCGTGATGTCATACCCTATGGCTCCCCACACCATGATGTCATACCCTATGGCTGACCACACCGTGATGTCATACACTATGGCTCCCCACACCATGATGTCATACCCTATGGCTCCCCACACCATGATGCCAGGAGAAACACCAGTATGTCTCTCCACAACATTGGCAGGACTGGTCCTCTCCTCTTGGCACCGCCATATGCGCACACAACGGTCATCCGTGGTAATGCAGAACCAATATTCAACGCTGAACATGGTGCGATGCCACTTGTCATCAGTCCATGCCTCCTGCTTATGGCACCACTCCAAACACAGCCGTGTCTGCGCTGGTGTTACTGGCAGCCTACACATGGGACGGTGAACCCATAGTCCGGCTGGTGCCAGTTGTCGAGACACGGTGCAGGATGACATGGGGTGTTGTAGAGAGTCCAATTGCTGTGTCCAGGTGGCAGGCCCAGATGTCATGGGGTTCTGTAATGCCAGGCACACAATACGACGATCCTCCCTTGCTGTGGTCTGTCTTGAGAGACCAGAATCTTCACGACGTGTGTGGGTGCCCTCACGTGCCCGGTTCCAACATCGGGCGACTGTGACATCTGCATGCCCTACATGCCAGGCAATTGCTCGATACGACCAGCCAGCCCACAATGTGACCCCTATCAAACTCCGTCAAGTGCTGGTAATGATGTTTAATGTGTCTACGAGGCATCCTGTGTCTGGTGACTAGACGTGCCAGCTCCTAGTAAATCAAATCATTCACATACCCATCGTTGGTCTGCACGTGTACCAAATTACATCCAAATTGGACCATTACTTCTGGGTGCTTAACTCCTTTTGTCACTCAATGTATATTATATTAAAATATTAAAGTAAATAGAGCTCTTGTATCAGTATCAGAATCAGATTGGAACTGAAAAAATGTGGATCAGTCCATCCGTATTATATACTCAATGGCCCATAATTGGTTACACCTGGTTCCAGAGCTGCCTCACGGGTCGGTTATACATTCTGAGAAGTCATTCTGCATACCACTGTTGCATAGAGTTGATATTTTGTGCACTTGTAGTCATACTTTCATCTTTAAAAAGATCTGGCTCTTCTCCTCTGAACTCTCTCATTAACAAGCCATTTTTGATAATTATATAATAGCCTAAGACCCTGAGCTTCATATATCTGCCCCGCTGGGCTGATGCGTTTACCTGTCTTCTGAGGGTGGGACACTCCAATCATCTTCTCTGCCAGGGCTTGGAAGCTGGTCGTTGCTCGTAGAGGTTGTCAATTCTCGATCATCATTATCGCTTTTAGCATTTCTGTAGCTTCTGTCAGCGCTATGCTGGTCACGGCTGTAACTCTGTTCCCACACATCTGCTCCTGTTAAATTATAACTGACTTGACAAGTGTCTTCCAAACAACGCACAGCCTGTTGTACCAGAGACCAGTGAACTTATCCAAAATTTATTGTGGACTATGCTCCAAACACTTATTCACTAAAAGCACTTTGGTTGAGAGCTACAGTTCCTAATATACGTACAAATCAGGAATATTCCTACCCAGGGTGGTATCAGAGGGTGCCTCTCCTTTTTCTGAGTACAGGCTTGTTTTTGGGTCCTGTTGGGAATGGGGGCTTTCCTGTTGCCCCACAACACCCAGGGATGCCCTACCAGGGACGGCATTTGGCTCCCACTGTAGAGACTGGACAGGCAAAAGTGGCAATCCAGGCCTGACTGCTGGCGGACTGCTTATGGCCTGAGAGGGAGTGGAAATGCCAATGGAGCCAGCCAGCAGGGCCCACTGAGAGGGCTCCGCAGTCACAGGGCCTTTTCCTGCCAGCAAAGAGGACCCTGCAAAATCTGAACAACATTAAAAACAATTGATGGACAGTCCCTATCATGTCTACAAAGACAGAAGTGGAATTACATCTGAAAAGAAACAGACATTCCTAAAGAGGTCACTGGAAATGTTTTTCCCCATTATTTAGTTAAAAGGACAGACGACACAACGCTAAGCCATATTCACCAAAAAATTACAGAACTACCTGAGGCCATGTTAAAACCAAATAAACACTGCTGAGCTTATCAGAAATCAAATGAAAATGCAGATGATTATACCCAATGAACAGATACCATATGTAAGGACACCGGAAATGACACAATGGCAGAATGTAAGCAGCAATAGCAGAATGTCTAAGCCTCTGAACTCATAAACCCAACATATAAATACACATATAAAACTAGGACATATGAAATTGCATTTTATTATCCATTCCAAAAACATTGGATCATTAAGCTCATGGTTTCTGTAACTTATGCTCACTTATACAAGCATGTAGTAGGCATTAAAGTACAGGTCGAGAGCAGCAGCATTATAATTCATTATCATCTTCCCATTGCAGTGACTTTCTTAAGCATTTATCAATCAAAGGCTCCATATCTTGAGAAATGGCACAGAGCAGCGATGCCAAACTCCAGTCCTGGGGGGGCGGCGCCCTGTGTAGCTTAATTCTTTCCCTGTTCCACCACAAATGATTCAGCTCAAGAGCTGTGTGGTAATGGGCAGAAGGAGTTGATTCAGTTGAACCAGGCGTGTTAAATGAGGGGAAACCCAAAAATGTGCAGGGCTCTGGCCCTCCAGGACTGGAGTTTGACATCCCTGGCATAGAGCACAAAAGTTTAACTATTCAACTCAGCATAAATGATTTGTGCTTGCTGGGCACTAATATGCAAGTCATAATTGACCACAAGGAGAACACTCAGAAGTGAAAGAAGTGATCGTACCTGTACTGCTATGCTGGCCGACTGTACCCAGGAACCTCTGAGGCTCTGGCAGTAGCGGGTGGAGCTGCTCCATCTGATGGGCTTTTAGCTGCTCCTGCATGGCTCTCTGCAACTCCTTTAACTGAAATCAAATGTGACTGTGAGCTTTTACCAAACTGGCTATGTACTTAACACACTAATTTGTGTCACGGCCACATTACACACCCAATTATTTTGTAAATTAACATACTAACCCCTAGTTAGGCAAAACATATGTATAGCCTAGAATACGACTGATTTTTTTTTTTTTTACAATGTTTTTAAATGGATTTGTGGTTACTACACGTTTTTAACAGTTTGACAGTTGAAGATTAGACTCATTAGAAGGGATAGTTACTTCCTCTAGTTTCTGTGCTATCGGACAATCGCTGATCTTCCTGTCAGCCACATCCAAGCACACCCTATCCTCGGCGATCCCGAGTGTGTCCAGCAGCTTCATTTTCCCCTTCTGGTCCGGGTCTCTAGTGTCGGCCAGCACCAGAGAATCAAGGCTTATGCTGCTGCTGCTGTTTGACGCGGGAAGGGGGACGAACTGTGAGGCGAAGGAATCGTCCCAACTGTCCCTCGGTGAGCCGGCTCCGTCCAGAGAAGGACTCAGAATGACTCCGGCCCGGTGCCTGCTCGGCATCCAGCGGGCGAGGATGCTGATTTCCGACGGCTGCATGCCAGCTGAAGATGACATGACGGCTTACCCTCTCGTACGTTAATCCTGGTTAGGTGGATTTAGAAACCATAGACACAGCAGTCAGTAACCTCTAACTTCAAATGGCCCTTTAATTAAAGTTGCTTACTTTCTAAAATCGGTCCACAAACAAAAGTTGACATCGCTTGAAAGACACTTCACCGCTCAGTTGTAATTCGCTGTACTAGTCGTAATGAAAACTCTCTCAGTGAGAGGAAGCCCAGCACCAGGTCAACTGTGGCATTAGCTAAACTTCCATTGTTACCTACGTTACGCATCGGTTTAAATTGTACTATATTACAAAATATTTAGCTTAAGTAATTAGGCGTGCCAATGCCTGAATAAATGGCTACAATTCACATAACACGTATCACGTACCTCTGACATCACTATAAACTGCCGTGGAGGTATTTAAAGTTGGTGTTGAAAACGGACAACATAAACTTCCAAATGTACCGCCACAACAAAACAAAGCCCGCGAGAGAGAGGAAGTTCGCGCTGACGATATGCATTATGGTTCGAGTAGTTCTTAAAATGTTAACGCGGAGGTTTGTGTTAGCTAGAGTTCGGTTTAGAACTACATATCTAAGAAGGCAATGCAATTGTACGAATGTTACACGGTGATAGTTATTTTTCACGCTTCTGTCGTGTAGCGGTACGGTCGAATGTTGTGTCTCCTCGTTCTTCTTAAACACAAAACAGCCACACGCATGCTAGCACTCATTTACAAAGGACCGTCAGCTTAAAATAAAATGGCTGCAGGGCCGGACTGCGAGGCTTGATGAGGCCAGGAATCTGGGGTAGGGTGACGATTAAATTTTCCGAGCGGTGCGAAACAATGCTGGTTCCAACCGCGACACAGCTTTTTGTTTTCAATGCGGGATGACTGAAAAATAGTGATGTTACAAGAACTGAAATCAATTTAAGGTGAAAACTTATTTTATCTGTCACCTTAAAGTACCGCGAAATGAGACACACGGGGCGGGACCATGCTGCGTGCGCATTTTGCACTACAGCATCTGTTTTGTAAAATGATCTACTTGTTTCAGAGGTCTGCTCTGAATGGCAGGCCAGAACACAGGGAAATATCCCGGTACTCCCAGTGGCCAGTTCGGGCCTGGATAGATGTGTAAGCCATTATGGAAGATGAAAGACAATTTCTATGTCCAGAATCAGTCGGCACTTCGCTGCTTAATTTAGAAAAATGCATGCGATTTTGTCTAACATTCTCGTACTAAGTTATGTGTACTTTTTATTGACGTAACGCTTGTATTCAATGGTTTAATCAAAATTAAATCATTTAAAAATACATTTCATTTAGCCTCATTTTAATTAAATAAAAACCATCATTATAAGGCAATTCAAACACGAAAATACAACATTTCTCAAGTGGTATTGAAATTTCTGCATTTTTATGAAATAACTAGAGTTTTGAGTGAAAGAAAATGCAGTGGAAAATCTTTTTTGAAAACTGAAAAATGTTGAATCTCATGAAAGTATTCTGGCATGTTAATGTGATACATACATACATACATACATACATAAATAGTCACATAGTCTAGGCAACCTAAGCACACCAGTTATGTTTACTTATTTAGCAGATCTTTTTCTCCCAAAATAACATACAAATAACCCGGATGATTCAGCCAAGCGATTTGAACCTGCAGTCTTCTAATCACATACACTAACCCACTTAGCCTCGTGCCACTAGTTAGTCCACTCTGTGTCTTTGGAAGGTGGGGGGAAACCCTCGTGGAGTGAACAGTGTGCTACCCAGCTGCGCTTAACAAATAAAAACTAAATAAAAATTGGCAACATATTAAAATTTGATAAACAGTACATCTGTAAAAACATGCAATAAATGTATATACTACAACTATTACTACTACTACTAATTCACTATGAAACAAGCTATAAAATGTGATATCATTAAGGGCACAAATTTCTGTACAAGAAGAAACATCTTTTATCAAAACACGATACCATTAGCAAGCAGCTGAATATGGTATATTATAAGTATGTTGTTAGTACTTTGGCAGCAGTTGTCAAATGTTATATGCTGTGATAGTTTTATAACAGTGTAGTTTTACTAACTGTAGTTGATTTACGAGTTCTAGCAGAAGCACGTAATTGGGGCATAATACTGTGTAGGCTAAGCCATGACATCAACCCACTGATATCAGGTAATTGAAGTGTAGAGTAGTGTTTACCATCTGAAATTTGATACCATAGCTGATACCATAGTACATCATTGTGGCTGTCAAAGTTAACATGCTGACATGTGTGATTAATTTTAAAAGAATAACTAATTAATTATTTTTAATCTCGTTATCATGCAGCCTACTATAGAGCAGAGCCCACCATGTGGGTGCAGTGGTGGCTCTGAGGCTAGGGCTCTGTGCTGGTAATCAGAAGGTTACTGGTATGAATGCCAGGAGTGATCCTACTCCATTGGGCCCTTGAGTAAGGCCCTTATCCTGTCATTGCTTTGTGGTGGCTATGGTGTTATGGTGCATTCGATTATTTCTCTCCAAGTTGGAACTCGGATGAAAACGTCACGAAAAACGTCACTTCCCGTTGGAAACACGCCTCGTTTATGTCGGACAGAATTTTCTTGTCCGAGTTGCCCCTGTGACGTAATTTCAACATGGGGGCTTACACGCTCAACAGTAATTCTATTTTATAAATATTTTAAAATGTTTATTTTGTTAAATGTATTAATAGTTGTAAATGTAATTGCACGTGTTCGATTTAGAGAATACCATATCATAACCGCAAACAGTATCCTAGCATGAAATGTCAGATTTTTACCAATCCTGCCACTAAAGAGATGACAGAGAAATTTTAAAATGTCATGTATTAAGGGATGACAACAATGAAAATTATGCTTTTTATACCCCTCAAAGGACAAATGAACAATGAAAAAACACATTACACATTTTGCAATATTTTTTTTGGACTAAGGTAAACTGGATAACTGACAGTAACCACAGATACTGGGGAACTACTGTATTTAAGCTTATGCTGGTACCCTCAGCCATACTTAATATACAGAAATAGACTTTGATTCCCAGATGATATTCAATGGAAATTTTCAAACAAGCAGACAATACTTTTGAAAAATGAAAAAAAACTCTACTCAAACTAAAATGTTTCAAATAAAAATAGTTTTTGAACATCATTATGTTCTGTTGACAAATGTACAAAAAAACCGGCAAGTGTAATATATAAAAAAATATTTTTTAATCACAAGTAATTATTTACTTAGCTGTGCAACTCCATATTTCATATGACTGCAGATTCACAAGTAATGCATCACAACATGACCTGTTTGGCATGAAAGTGACAGTCACTAAAAAGTCACACAATTTTCGAACTATTTGTACAACAGAATGAATAATAATAATAATAATAATACATATTTCGCTTAAAAATCTCCCATATCTGAAACCACTATAACTGTACTGTCCAAAGAGCCCTAAATAAAATTAAGGGAAATGAACAATGCAGAAAAACCCTCCAAAATACATATCAATACATAATTACAATGATCCAAACTACCCATTAGAAAAACATATACAGTGTAACAATATAAAAGTATATCATTCATAAAAGTTAAAATGCTCATTTAAGTGCATATAACTACCACATGAAACATTAGCATATTAGATGAATATCCTTCAGTAATGTCGTAATGCTGCGTGACGCACCAGCATGTTAGCACTACTCCTCAGGTCTTTGTGAACATGACTACATTGCACAAAATACCATTTAGTGTACACAAATAAAGCAGTCATATGTTTTAAAATTAATCTAATTTTAAAGTATAACTCAAAATGTACACCTTCATAGTTTTATTGACAATAGTTTTGCAGAATTTAGTTTGAAAATTAATTACATTTCATTATCTTTTTAGTGTACTTTTAAGAAATTATCTGTAGTCAGACTGCATATGTTCACTGTGACAGTGAGTTGCTTGATGTTTCTTTAAGTTACTAGTGTCTGCAAACCTCTTTCCACAGTAAGCACAAACGTGTGGTTTATCTCCTGAGTGAACTTTAAGGTGCCTTTTTAAGTAGGACATAGCCTTAAAACGTTTCCCACAATGAATACATATGTTCGGTCTTTCTCCTGAATGAATTCTCATGTGTACTGTTAAGCCACTTAACTGCGTAAAACATTTTCCACACAGAGTACAAGTGTACGGTTTTTCACCAGAATGAACTCTCTTATGTACTTTTAAGTTCATAGCCTGGCTAAAACTTTTCCCACATTCAGAGCAGCTGTAAGGTTTTTCACCTGTATGAACTCTCTTGTGTACAGTTAAGCGAAATGATCTAGTAAAACTCTTTCCACATTCAGTACAAATGTATGGCCTTTCTGAGTGACAATGTCTTCTTAAGGCTGCTGCATTTTTAAAACCTCTACCACACTGAGCACAGACATTTGGTCTCTCTCCAGAATGAATTAAAACATGGTTCTTGTAGGTTGCTCGGGTGTAAAACCTCATCCCACACTCAGTGCAGTGGTATGGTTTTTCACCAGTATGAAATCTCATGTGCACTTTTAAAGAATCTGCTACTGTAAACCTTTGTCCACATTCAGAACACATATAGGGTTTTTCACCTGAGTGAATCCTCTGGTGCTTTTTCAAGTATGACCGACTTGTGAACCCCTTCCCACACTGATCACAGATGAATACTTTTTCAGTTAAATGTGTTTCTTTGTGTTTTGATAAGTAAGTGGGATTCGCAAAACTCTTACCACATTCCCTACAAGTGTGCAGCTTTTCACCAGAGTGGATTGAAATGTGGGTCTTGAATGATGATCGACTGAAAAACCTCACATCACATTCAGGGCAATGGTACGGTTTCTGACCAGAATGAACTCGCATTGTGTGAACTTTTAAAGAATCTGCCACTGCAAACTGTTTGCCACACTCTGAACAGCTATGAGGTTTCTCCCCCAAGTGAACCCTATGGTGCTTTTTCAAGTACGATGGCTTAGTGAAGCTTTTCCCACACTGATCACAGATGTGTGTTTTTTCAGATGAATGGGTTTTTTTGTGTTTTGCCAAATAGGTGGTTTTTGCAAAACTCTTTCCACACTCATTACAACTGTGAGGTTTTTCATCCAAACAAATTGCATTTTGCTCTTTAAGGCTTGAAAAGGATGGTCCATTTTCAGAGCCTGCACTTGAATCTGATCTTTGGGAATTAAGGGTATGGTGGTGTTTCATGGTATGTGTCTCAGGTAAAATCATTCCAGACAGCATGGAAACCAAGTAATCGCCGTCTTCATGATTGTCGTTCTCACCCTGATGGGAGTCAGACAATGGTTCTTTTGCATCTTCAGTTGATATACCTCTTTCAGATCTCTCTTCCTGATTCTCCACACACCCCTCTGTCTCACTATTAGCAGCAAGCCGTCCAAAACCCCCCGTCTCATGACTTGATTCAGAGCTCACGTCTGCTGCTTCACCTTCAAAGCACTGCATAGCAATTTGCCGTCCCACCAGAACATTCTCTGAATCAACAATCCTAATTTTAACTTCTTCTGATTCCTGATGGACTCCTGATTCTATATAGTCAACAATATTTTTTTGCACTGTAGGAATATCCACTGCTTGGGAATAGAGTTCCTTTCCGCTACTTGAAATACATTTTATTTTGTTAATTACTATTTTCTCACCAATAACATGCCATGGTTCAGTGTTTTGCTGCTGCTGAAAGTTGTCTGGATCGATAATCTCAGTTTTGATGTGTTCAAAATTTGAATATAATGCTGACTCCATGGTATCATTATTAAGATCCTGTTCCATGGAATCTAGAGTATAGTTAGAGTCACGACCATTTGACTCACACTTCATTCTGTCAACATGCAGTGCCACAACAGTATAGCTTGGGTCAGTCTTTTCCATTTTTATTTCTTCATAATTTAGACATAGTCTTGATTCCATCTCATCTATGGTGAAATTATGCATTGTGGCTGAATCCACTGTGCTGTAAAGCCCCAGATGAGATTCATTTTTAACCGTTACACCCATAACACTATTTACATATTTTTCTCCAGAATGAACTTTAAGGTGCCTTTCTAAATATGATGAACGCTTAAAGCATTTCCCACAACGATTACAGATGCTTGGTTTTTTTTCTGCATGACTTTTCATGTGCCCTGTTAATCCACTCGACTGTGTAAAGCTTTTCTCACATAAGGTACAGCTGTATGGCTTCTCACCAGAATGAATTCTCATATGTATCTTTAAGTTTGCTGCCTGAGTAAAACTCTTTCCACATTCAGAACAGCCGTACGGTTTTTCATCAGAGTGAACTCTCTTATGTGTAGTTAAGCGAAATAAACGAGTAAAACCCTTTCCACATTCAGTGCAACTGTATGGTTTTTCAGCTAAATGAATTTCACAATGTCTTCGTAAAGAGGCTGCATCCTTAAAACTTTTTCCACACTGACCACAGACATTTGGTCTTTCTCCAGAATGGTTTAAAATGTGGTTCTTGTAGGTAGCTCTGGTAAAAAACCTCATTCCACATTCGGTGCACTGATATGGTTTTTCCCCAGAATGAAATCTCATGTGCACTTTTAAAGAATCTGTTGCAGTAAACCGCTGTCCGCATTCCGAACAGACATGGGGCTTTTCACCTGTGTGGACTCTCTGGTGTTTCTTCAAGTAAGCTGGATGGGTGAAACCTTTTCCACACTGTCCACAAATGTATTTTTTTTCAGTTGAATGTGTTTTCGTGTGTCTTGTTAAAGCAGCTATATTCGTAAATACCTTTCCACATTCATTGCAGCTGTGTGCTTTTTCACCTGAATAAGGGTTCCTGTCTCTCTTTGTAGTGCAAAGTCTTCCATTGCTCAAATCAATTCCATTCAAGTAAAGTTGCTGGTGCTGTTTCTTATCAAATGCATTAGTGGAATTTGTTACAAACTGCAAAGAACCTAACCAATCAGTATGAATGTCTTTCCTCTGAGATGAAGGAATGGGCTGCTCCTCTTGATGAGCTCCTTTTGATCTCTCTTTACAATCCAATTCTAGTCGTGCCTCTGATTTCTCCTCTATAAATCCACTGGAAACTACTATATCTCCACTTGATTCAGATTTTATTTGGTCGACTGTAATTTCAACCCCATTAGTGCACTGAGAGTCATTGTACTGTGATGGACAAACAGAATCTGGACCAGTCCCTTTCTCTGTTTGATGATACTCCAGGCAAACTCCCAATCCCATCTTCTCAGTGCCGGGATTCTGCATAGCAGCAATATCCCCTGTATGGGTGCAGCCCAGATCAGATTCATTTTTAACACACAAGGCCATGA